TTCTGCCTTTTGCATAATTTCCTTCCTGATCTCTTGAACAGTTCTGTATATTAATGTTTTGTATTCTGCCTCTGCTAATTCCAAGAAATTTTCTTCCTCTGGAAAATCTCTAGATTCTTTATTTTGGGAGATTGCTGAAGCCATCTTGGTCTGCCTCTTTATGTGATTTGATATTGACTATTGTCTCCAAGCATCAGTAAGTTATTATATTTATTTATTTTATGTTTGCTTACTGTGTCCTAGCTTCTTCTTTTGTTTTGTTTTGATATGCCCAAATAGGCTCCTCATTTTAGCCAGCCTGATCACTGGCACCCCTGAAGCTGAAACGTCAGGTCACCAGGTGGCCAGACCTGTCACTAAGTGTGTGAGCCCAGGAGTTGGCCCAATCCTCCTGAATGGATTCAGCTCAGGTGTCTAGGTAGTCAGCCACCAAGTGTGTAGTGCAGGCTCTCACCTACAGTCGTAGACAGACATAGGTGATTGGTGTAGGCATAGGCATCCAGCTGCAACAGAGGGACACACATTGAGCAAGGCAGGGGGCTGACAGCCACCCCTAAGCATGGAGGAGGAAAGTATGTCCCTGTTGCCTACAGCAAGTAGGTGGGTGGGTTTTGCAGCTGGACTATGAGCACCCAGTGCTGTTGGCTATAAGGACTGGGGGCACCTCTTGTTCTCGGGTCCCTATTGCAGGTGGCTAGGTGGCATGAGTGGAGCCACCAGTTCTCAGGTCCCTGATGTAGGTAAGTGAACACCCAGCTTAGTGGGCAGAACAGTGTCAAATGTCAAGAACCTGCCACTTCACAGCTGAAACAGTTGAATTTAGACTTCAGGTATATACCATGTTGTACTGCAGTAATGAGGGCCTATGCTGTTGAAATGGGATCACACAAGTCCATGCAAGGGAAAGGCACTCAAAATCCATGAACCCCTTATGACCGTGCCTAGGCAATAGAGCTGTGCCTACACTGAGTTTCTGGCTTAGGGGAGCAGGCAGATTATTTTTCCCCCTATCTGTTAATTTGTTCCCTCTCCAAGGCTTAGAGAATGGTTCAGGGCACATTACGGTTCCTACTTCCAGCCCAGGGAACTTGGGAATCACTGAAGCCGTCCTGAACCCAGTGAAGAGCAGGGACCAGGGAGGTAAATGGAAGAGAGATTTTTCTCTAAGGGGGATTTTTTTGATCCGTGTGGCAGGTCAGATACAAATACTTATATTTAGCCAATTGAGGGCTGCTTCTCACTGGTTCTGGATGGCTGAGTAGACTCTGTGTCGCTGGGTCACTGCCGATGTGGAAAGGGCATCCAGAGAGCTGCTGCTTGCCTCACCGCTCACACCAGGCTGATCTGGGCTGAGGGGCTCTGGCTCCCAGTGTGTCAGTTCTGGCAACTCTTCCCTGCTGCCAACCTTCTCTCCCTTCCCCAACCACTCAGTGTGAGTCCTCAACTTTGTCTTTGATGTTCAGTGCTCCTAGACTGTCATATATAATTGATTCACTTGTTTTATCAGGTCTTTGGTGTAAGAGGGACCACCGGAAGCATCTGACTACTCTGCCATCTTGGCCCCATCTCCCCAGTATCATTCTTGATGGAGAGAGACGGAAAACATTCCCCTTTGGAACAGGAACAAGACAAGGATGCCCTATATCACCACTGCTATTTAACAGTGTGCTGGAAGTCCTAACTAGAGCAATAAGGCAAGAAAAAAAATAAAGGGCAAACAAATTGGTAATGAATAAGTTAAACTGTCCCTGTTTACAGATGATATGATATTATGCATTGAAAACCCAAAAGACTCCATGATAAAACTACTGAAAATAAGGATACAAGATAAACATACAGAAATCGTTTGGATTCCTATACACCAATAAAGAGAATGATGAAAAGGAAATCAGGAAAACAATATGATTTATAGTAGTCCTTAAAAAAACAAAATCCTTAGAAATAAATCTAACCAGGGATTTAAAAGACCTATACCAAGTAAACTACAAAACACTACTGAATGAAACCAAGAGATCTATATAAATGGAACAACATACTATGTTCATGGATAGGTACACCCAACATTGTGAAAATTACAACTCTACCCAAAGCAATTTACAGATACAATGCAATCCTGATACAAATACCAACAACATTCTTTAGAGAGAGAGAAAAATTAATCATTAGCTTTATATGGAAAGAGAAGAAACCGCAGATAAATAAAGCACTACTGAAGAAGAAGAAAAAAGTTGGAGGACTCACACTACCTGACTTCAGAACCTACTATACAGCTACAGTAGTCAAAACAGCCTGGTACTGGTATAACAACAGATACATTGACCAATGGAACAGAATTGAGAACTCAGATGTGAATCCATCCACCTATGGTCACCTGATCTTCGATAAGGACCCAAAGTCCATCAAATACAGTCTTTTTAATAAATGATTCTGACAAAACCAGATGTCCAGCTCCAAAAAAATGAAACAGGACCCATAACTCACACCGTATAAAAACGTAATTCAAAATGGACCAAAGACATAAATATAAAGCAAAAAGGTATAAAGTTTATAGAAGAAAAAATAAGATCAATGCTAGAGGCCGTAATACACGGCATAAACAGGATACACACCATAACCAACAACACACAAACTCCAGAAGATAAGCTAGATAACTGGGATCTTCTAAAAATTAAACACTTATGCTCATCAAAAGACTTCACCAAAAATTAAAAAGAGAATCTACAGACTGGGAAAAATTTTTGGACATTACAAGTCAGATAAAGTTCAAATCTCTAAAATCTACAAGAAAATCCAACACCTCTACAATGAAAAGACAAATGATCCAATTAAAAAATGGGCAAAGGAAATGAACAGACACTTCACCAAAGAAGACATTCAAGAGGCCAACAGTCACGTGAGGAAATGCTTGCGATCACTAGCTATTAGAGAAATGCCAATCAAAACCACAATGAGATACGCTCTCACCTCAGCATTTCTGGCATGAATCAAAAAAACTGGAAATAACAATGTTGGAGAAGCTGTGGGGAGATTGGAACTCTTAAGCATTGCTGGTGGGAATTTTGGAAAGCGATATGGTGCTTCCTTAGAAATCTAGAAATAGAAATACCATGGGATCCAGCAATCCCACTCCTAGAAATATATCCTAGAGAAATAAAAGCCGTCACATGAATAGACATATATACACCCATGTTCACTGCAACATTGTTCATGATAGCAAAAAGATGGAAACAACGTAGATGTCCATCAACAGATGAATGGATAAACCAACTATGGTACATAGGCACAATGGAGAATTATGCAACAATAAAGAACAATGATGAATCTGTGAAATCTCTCATAACATGGATGGAACTGGAGGACATTAGGCTGAGTGAAATAAGTCAATCACAAAAGGAGAAATACTGTACTAGACTACTACTGTAAAAATTCATGGAAAGGTTTACACACAAAAAGAAACAATCTTTGATGGTTACGAGGGATAGGAGGGGAGAGGGAAAAACTAAATAGACAACAGATAGGTGGTAACTTTGGTGAAGGGTAAGACAATAATACACAGTACTGGGGAAGACAGCACATCTTGTACAAGGCAAGGTTATGGAAGTTCCATAGACACATCAAAACTCCCTGAAGGACTGAATTGCTGGTGGAGGGCTGTGAGGACCATGGTCTCAAGGAACATCTAGCTCATTTGGCATAACATAATTTATAAAGATAATGTTCTACATTCTACCTTGGTGAGTAGTGTCTGTGGTCTTAAAAGTCTGTAAGCAGCCATCGAAGATACTCCACTGGTCTCGCCCCTTTGGGAGCAAGGGACAATGAAGAAAATGATACGTGGGAAATATTTGTCCAAAGGACTAATGGACCTCATCTACCATGGTCTCCACCAGACCGAGTCCAGTTCAAGTAGACAGTACCTGGCTATCACCAGTGACTACTCTGACAGGGATCACAACAGAGGGTCCCGGACAGAGCTGAGAAAAAAGTAGAACAAAATTCTAACCAACCAAAAAAGACCAGACTTACTGGCCTGACAGAGACTGGAGAAACCCTGAGAGTATGGTCCGGCCCCTAGACAACCATTTAGCTCAGTAATGAAGTCACTCTCGAAGTTCACCTTTCAGCCAAAGATTAGACAGCCCCATAAGACAAAATGAGACTAATGGGACACAATAGTCCAAGGACTATAAGGCAGGAGGGGACGGGAAAGCTGGTAACAGGGAACCCAAGGTTGAGAAGGGATGGTGTTGACATGTCTTCGGGTTGTTAACCAACGTCATAAAACAATATGTGTACCAAATGTTTAATGAGAAATTATTTGTTCTGTTAACCCTCATCTAAAGTAATAAAAACATTTTAAAAAAAGAGTAAGAGATGTCTATTCCTTGCTATTTCACTAGCTCATAGCCCTGAAATACTGACAACCTGCATGAGTTAAACAAATGAAACTTTACTCACTTTTTCTCACTCAATTTGATCTGTTTTTTTATGTTAATGAAATTAATGTTAATTTAAGCCTAAAATAGCACAATTGTAAGCAGAATCAGTGTGAAATAAATTACTTGTTTGATTAATCAGATATTATTTTCATTCTATGTAGCAAATTACACTCATTTGAAATAGTCAACAAACTTTGAAAATGCCCTTAATTTTTAGATCAATTAAACATAGGTCTCTCAAATATTAAGATGCAGTAAAACCATCTCTTGTAAGTAGCTTTCCAAGTTTTTGAAAATTGTATCAAAATAAATATAATTATTTTGTCAAAAATAGTTTCAACTTTATTTAAATAAAAGTTAAAAAAATTACTTTTTACTGTAATTGTGGAACCTTATATGCTACATAATGTGAAGAAATATATTAAAATACATGTTTTCCCAAAGATGGAAAACAATAGTCACAATTCTCACACAAAAATCATGAGCCATCAAGATTATATTCTATAATAGATAAAGTTAAAGAAATACATGAATCAGCTTCCAAGTATTTCTCAATCTTACCTGCTGGTTTACAGGAAAATTTCTGTTGATTTTTTTAATCTGCAATGATAATAAATAGACAAATAAACAAACAAATAATAAATGTGAAAACAACAAGATCAAAGTATCAGCCAAACCAACTGCCTTTGAGTTGATTTCAACTCACAGTGACCCTGTAGGACGGACTAGAGCTGCCCCATAGGGTTTCCAATGGTGTAAATCTTTACAGAAGCAGACTGTCACAACTTTCTCCTGCAGAGCCGTTGGTGGGTTGAAACAGCCAACTTTGGTTTATCAGTTGAACTCTTTAACCACTGCACCACCAGGGGTCTTTTTAAAGTACCACAGATTCCAAATATATTTGTGAGAATCTGTCCTTTGGTGAATTAATATTCAATACATATTAATTCAGTATTCAATAATCTATAGTCAACAATCAATAACCTATAACTTATATTATATACTCTATATATTCTATTAATAATTAGAACATGGAATGTATGAAGTATGAATCTAGGAAAATTGCAAGTCATCTAAAATGAAAAAGAATGCATAAAAATACATATTATAGACATTAGTGAGCTGAAATTGACTGACATTGGCCATTTTAAATTGGACAATCGTATGGTCTACTATGCAGGCAATGATAAATTGAAGATGAATCTTGTTGCATTTATCATCAAAAAGAACATTTCAAGATCTATCCTGAAGTACAATGCTGTTAGTGACAGGATAACATTTATACACCTACAAGGAAGACCAGTTACTACAACAATTATTCAAATTTACACACCAATCACTAAGGCCAAAGAAGAAGAAGTTGAATATTTTTACCAACTTCTACCGTCCGTAATTGATCAAACATGCAATCAAGACGCATTGATAATTACTGGTGATTGGAATGTGAAAGTTGGAAATGAAGAAGAATGATCAGTAGTGGGAAAACACGGATTTGATGATAGAAACAACACTGGAGATCACATTATAGAATTTTGCAAGACCAACAAATACTTTGCTGTAAATGCCTTTTTTTCAACAACATAAATGTTACTATACATGTGGGCCTCACCATATGGAATATGCAGAAATCAAATCAACTACATCTTTGAAAAGAGACAATGGAGCTCAGTATCAGCAGTCAGAAGAAGGTCAAGGGCCGACTGCAGAACAGACCATCATTTGCTCATACGCAAGTTCAAGTTGAAGCTGAAGAAAATTACAGCAAGTCCATGAGAGCCAAAATATAACCTTGAATATATCCCACCTGAATTTAGAGACGATCTCAAGGATAGATTTGACACACTGAACACTAATGACTGAAGATCAGATGGTTGTGGAAAGGCATCAAGGACTTCATACATGAAGAAAGCAAGAGATCTTTAAAAAGACAGGAAAGAGAAAAGACCAAAATGGGGGTCAGAAGAGATTGAGAAACTTGCTCCTGATCATAGATAAAACAAACAAAAGAAATGATTAAATAAAATAGCTGAACAGATAATTTCAAAGGGCACCTCAAGAAGACAAATTAAACTACTATGATGAACTGCACAAAGACCTGGAGTTAGGAAACCAAGAGGGAAGAACATACTCGGCATTTCTCAAACTGAAAGAACTGAAGAAAAAATTCAAGCCTGGAGTTGCAATACTGAAGGATTCTATGGGGAAAACATTGAATTACACAGGAAGCATCAAAAAAAGATGGAAGGAGCACACAGTCACTGTACCAAAAAGAATTAGTTGATGTTCAACAATTTCAGGAGGTAACATATGATCCAGAATCTAGGGTACTGAAGGAAGAAGTCCAAGCTGCACTGAAGGCATTGGTGAAAAACAAGGCTCCAGGAATTGATGGAATACCATTTGAGATGTTTCAACAAACGGATGCAACACTGGATGTGCCCACTCATCTATGCCAAGAAATTTGGAAGACTGCTACCTGGCCAACTGACTGGAAGAGATCCATATTTGTGCCCATTCCAAAGCAAGTTGATCCAACAGAATTCAGAAATTATCAAACAATATCATTAATATCACACACAAGTAAAACTTTGCTGCAGATGATTCAAAAGTGGTTGCAGCAGTACATCAACAGTGAACTGCCAGAAATTCCAACCATATTCAAAAGAGGATGTGGAATCAGGGGTATCATTGCTGATGTCAGATACATCTTGGTTGAAAGTAAAGAATAACAGAAAGATATTTACCTGTGTTTTATTGACTATGCAAAGGCATTTGACTGTGTGGATCATAACAAATGATTGATAACATTGCAAAGAATGGGAATTCCAGAGCACTTAATTGTGCTCATAGGGAATCTTTATGTAGACCTAGAGGAAGTCAAACAGAAAAGGGGATACTATATGGTTTAAAGGTAAGAAAGTTTTGTGCCAGAGTTGTATCCTTCGCCATATTTTATTCAATCTGTATACTGAGCAAATAATCCGAGAAGCTGGAGTGTATGAAGAGGAAGACAGCATCAGGATTGGAGGAAGACTCATTAACAACTTGTGTTATGTAGATGATACAATCTTCCTTCCTTAAAGTGAAGAGGACTTGAAGCATTTACTGATGAAGATCAAAGACTAAAGCCTTCAGTACGGATTGCACCTCAACATAGAGAAAACAAAAGTCCTCACAACTGAACCAATAAGCAACATCGTGACAAATGGAGGAAAGATTGAAATTGTCAATGATTTCATTTTACTTGGATCCACAATCGATGACCACCGAAGCAGCAGTCAAGAAATGAAACGACGTATTGTATTGGGCAATTCTGTTACAAAAGGACTCTTCAAGGTGTTAAAAAGAGAAGATGTCTCTGTGAGGACTTACCTGAGCCTGACCCAAGCCATGGTGTTTTCAACTGCCTCATATGTATATAAAAACTGGCAATGAATAAGGAAGACTGAAGAAGAATTGAAGCCTTTGAATTATGGTGTTGGCAAAGAATATAGAATATACCATGGACTGCCAAAAGAATGAACAAATCTGTCTTTGAAGAAGTATAGCCAGAATGCTTCTTGGAAGCAAGGATGGCAAGACTTCATCTCACGTACTTTGGACATGTATCAGGAGGGACCAGTCCCTGGAGAAGGATATCATACTTGGTAAAATAAAGGGTCATCGAAAAAAAGAAGACCATCAGTGAGATGGATTGACACAGTGGCTGCAACAATGGGCTCAAACATAGCAACGATTGTGAGGATGGCATAGCAATGAGCAGTGTTTCATTCTGTTGTACATAAATAGGGTCGCTATAGTCGGAAATGACTTAACGGCACCCAGCAACAACAACATATATTCTATACTCTATATTCTCTATAGTCTATGATCTATATTATGTATATTATATATATATTATATCTACATAAATTCTAGCTATAGATTAATTCTATCTTGACTTACTGAAATTATTAAACATCAAATACTTACTATGAATGCCTTTTAAGTGTGGCTATCCAAATTATCCCAAATTTTGCATGTAAGCATTTAAAAACAGATTTATGTCTAGTCATTTTTTGGTTTATGAAAAAGCAAAAGTTCTGTTTCCCTACAATAAGTGAATATCTATGAAGAATGTAGAGTTACTTTTTGTAGTTATTTTTATTTCATCTGAAATCACATTATTTCATCTTTTTTTTTTTTTTTTAATACTCAAGAGAGCAGGGGAAACATAAAATTCAAATATTGAATGATGAAGTATCTGTGTTGAAATGTTTTTGGTCAGGACTCCAAATAAAATATAACATTTACTTTAAGCCAATTTAATGAAATGACATTTTATAGGAATTTAAAATAACTCTTGGGAGAAAGCATTCCTCTGTAGTATGCCATACAAACAGAGTTCAAGATCCAAATGAATACGAATATTAGGCCTGGAAAAATGACACTACACTACGCAAAGTTTTGCTCAGCAGTAGTTTTGCTAATTAAAAGCGATTTATTTTTCTTTGGCTTTTCTAGAGAAAGTTAAATAATACACTTTTTGGTAGAATGTTACATCAGACTAAATTATTTACATCAGACTAAATGATTCATATCAAAGTAGCTCATTTTCACTTATGAATAAATTTTATTGTATTATTTAATTTCCCCATTCTTTTTTTAGTTCCCTTTTGTCTTAGTGGAAAACGTGAAATAACAGATCATTTAATAGCAATTGAGCACAATTTCGGAGAATTTTCAAATAGTGCATCAGTAAGAACAGGCTTCTTAAATTACATTAAATCACAGACTGGTAAGATATTCTCATTTAAAAATGTAAAATAAAAGAAAATTAGAAAACACTTACATGATTTGTGCATGGTCATGTACAAAACCCACATTTTATATTGCTATTATTACTTCAAAATAGTCATTTGCCCTGGTGAGGAATTAGCAAAGGAAATCGCTGAAACTTCTTGTCCCATCAGTTAAAATCAGGGAGAAAAGCATTGAAGACAGTACAGTTGCACAGCTGATTATTGTAATTGCTGTCAATGCATTGTACACCTATAAAAGTCGAATCGGCAAAAGTTGTGTGATAAATATACTTATATATTTTAAAAAAGAACAGCAGCTGAGGCTACTAATGTACAACAAAACATTTCATGGGATTTGGTTCCTTGGTTTGGAGGTTTAGGGTCAGGTTTCATGAAACATCCCAGTTAATTGATCTAGTAACCTGTTTAGCGCTTCCGTTCTACTTCCTAATTCATTGCATAGTGCCTAGAGCCTTAAAAGCTTTCAAGCAGCCATCCAAGGCTTGACAATTAGCTTCTATTCACCTGGAGAAACAGAGGAAGAAGGAGAGTCAGAAACAGGATGCGAGTATGGAATGTATGGCTAATTGCTACTATGGATAGCAGTCCCCTTTGCCATGAAACCAGAACTGAATAGTGCCCAGCTACCGTTACTGAATATTTTGATCAAAGATTCTATAGAAGAGTCCTGATCAAACAGGGAAAAATGCAGAAGAGAATTTTAAATTCTCATGGAATCCAGAATTTCTGGAATGGTGGAGGCTAAATGAACCCCTGAAACTATTGCCCTGAGATAATATTTAAACCTTAAACCAAAAG